ATACCTAAACTATGGGATTTATGGGACTATTACTATATTTGGGTCATGCAGAATTTTGTCCATCAACAGTATCAAGCCATATTTCACCATAACGGTATAACACCATTAGCAGACGCAGTAGAAGTAGTAGTGGTCGCCCTAAACCCTAAACCGTAGCGCTAGTAGTAGAAATGGCTCCATCAATCCTCTAATTCCCATAAAAATCAACCGAGGACGAAACCAAGCGCCGACTGCAAGCAGGCACGCGGCTTCTTCTTGAGAGGAGTTCACCTCTTTTGGGTTTAGGGTACAGGGTTCAGACGGCACCGGTCCTGAGCTACATGGAGGCTTACGAACTCGATCTCTTGCCAGTTCAATCCCGGAATTCAATGCGAGGAATTCGCTGGGACATGTCCGCACTTTAGACCGAAAGCATTCAAGCCAGCTAAAAGCCGTTTGGGAATCCAGGCTTCGGATTGCTTATACTCTAATTAATCACACGCAGATCGTTCGAGTTGCAGGTAGATGACTCGATCTCAAGTACCACTTGAATGGACAAAGCTTACAGCATTAGATCCATTTGCAGAAGTATTCTGTCCACTCTCAGGAGCATCCTCTGTCATTGATTAAGGTCCGTGGAAACTAGTTCGACATTATTTACGTTTGATAGTAGATCCGAGGTTTGGGTTCAGGGCTTGAGTTTGGGGTTTGGGGGTTTAAGTGTAGTGTAAGGTTTAGGGCCGAGGGTTTCTTTTGGGCTTCAGTGTCTCGGCATGCAATCATTTCTCCATGCGCTGCTCGAAGCCCTCAAAGCCAGCTAGAAATAAAGCTCTCCTTCAGGCGACACCATTGTCATCCATTCGGAGCGCGCTTCGGGCACGATCTTCTTCAGCTCTGACAGCCCCTCACGCTGATGTGGGGGGTCTGGGGCTAGCGGATGGCTTGCTTCCAAGTGCAAAATAATCGCTAGCTGCCCGAAGCCAGTCGGTTCGTGTCACTTTGACTCTACCTTCGTTGCACTTAGTCTGCTTCCCCACATAGAACTATGTATGCTTGCAAACTACTTCATGAGTAGCGTGCACACAAGGTAGCTATAGCTGTGGCCGGTATAGCTGTTCGTAAACTAACGATCGCATGAGCCCTAACCCCCGTCTTCCGAAGCCATGTCAAACGGTGGAGCAAGATGGAGCACAACCCCAAGCATGCAGTGTCCCAACCGTTTAAGATTCGGACGAAGCCCTCAGACTTTCAAGAATGCACCTCTCAAAGCACTCAAGACAAGAGGCTAAACTTGAGGATCATGCGTCCTTTTGTTGTGGGTTGTGAGAAGTAAGCATCGAAGTACCTGAATGTGTTGGCTGTTCCTCATTATAGCCTGCCTGACTTTGTGAAAGTACTTCCTTCAGCTGTCTGTGTCGAGGCTGACATGATCCAATCGTGTTAGGCTTTCAGTTTAAGGCTCTGAAGCTCAGGGCTAAGGGAACCGTAAGTATCGCGATTGCTTCGTGCGTGATAACAAGAATAATGAGAACAGTAGTATCCGAAATAAACATAAGACTAATCATAGTTTCTTTTCCACACACTCTCTCTTTCTCTCTCTCTCTATATGTATATATATATATATATACATGTGTGTGTGATTTTCTGATTCAACCGAGAATTGCGGTAGTTGTTCATGTTCTGTCGCTCCGCCTTGCCCTGACGGCTTGAATCTTCATTATGAGGCTGCATTACGGGATGGGATTGAAGGCTTCATCTACGTGTTTAGGGTACAGCTCCTGGAAATCACAAGCCGCGATGCTCATGGCCCTCCCAGCAAGCCTCGATCTACTCCGGGGTCCCAAACCCCCAAGCTTTAAACTTTGAGCGCATGGCTCTTCAAAGAAGCTAGCCCTAGAAGCTCCTGAGCCAAGACAAAATTCCCAAGAAATCTTGTAAACTCGATAAGACTTCTGAGCCTTGAAGAGCCTCTAGCCAGTAGAACCCCCTAGAGAGACACATGTAAAATTCTTCTGCACCCGTAATTAAGCCGTGTCGAAAGCCCTAGTGGCCATAGTAAACCATTCTGCAACGACCCTTATAAACCTGTCAAAACAATCCGACAGAATGCACAAACGCCTCTTCGACATAAATTCCTCTAACACTCTAAAACCCGTAAACCTAAGCCATAAGCCCTGAACAAAAACCTCAAACCCTAAATCAAAACCGGCCCAGCCCTAATGCAAGGCGAGGACATGATCAGAAGTGGCTCGGCTCTCCCTCGCAGAAGCCAGCGTTTTTGGGGCTTTGAGTTTAAGGTATAAGCTACTACAAGCAGTATAGCTTCTGAAAAAAGTACATAGAATTTCTAAACTATACTTATATACATTACATTCCATACAAAACCGTATGTACAACTTAAGGTCTGGTTTAAGGTTTAGGGGTTCGGGCCGTGGGTGTGTGCGTGTTAAGGTTCAGGATTTGAACTAAGCTGTTTCAGGCTTCGGGTTTAGGGTTTG